TTTGTATTATTATAAAACGGAGCTTACTCTTTATATTCTCTTATTGTCTCGTGCATTGTGATAATTTATTATGGATGAAACAATGTGGAGTCAAATCTAGTATAATGTTCATTTGTTATGTGGAAAAGGTTTCATTAGTTTATATTTTTATTTAATTAATACGGAGTATATTTATGGCGTTTTTGTAATATTTTTTCCTTTTGTTTTATATATCTGTGTGAACTGTGAACCTATTATTTTTAGGTGACTTGTATTTTATTTCAATTTTACAAAAAATGCACTTATCACTGCTTATAAACTAAGTTTGATGAGTTATTAACTTATTATATTGTAATAAATTTGTTCAAATATTAATTCAATATTGATGAGTCACTAATAATTATATCGGCATTCACATGGAGTGAGATACGTTGTACAATATACGAAGTATACATCATTGGCAAATCAAGCTTCATAGTGTCTAATGCATGTGGATTGTGAAGAAATTGTTAATGAGTCACTAATAATAATAATCATTATATTTCAACAAACCAAACCGATGTTCATAGTACTTAATACTTCGTATATGTGGAACATGATGTGTCCTTTTATAATGTGATGTATACACTCAAACATCAAACTTGACTAAATCTCAAATTATGCAGCTCGTTTACAATATTGGTTAGGAAGTATGAAATAATATTAAGTGAAATTTCTTAGTATGCGTGTGAAATTAAACTTGAATAAGTCATGTCTTTATTCAGATGACAATAGTTCAACTCAAATCATTTGCAAATGCTAAATGATGTCAAATAGCTACCTCTTACGAACAAGATTAGGAAATATTCAAGTTGTTGCTTACGTGGTTTAAACAAGGTGCAAGGAATGTCATATATAAGTCTAATACTTTGTTCCAAAAGGTGGAATCTCCCACCCCAGGAGCCCCCACACCCCGACCCGACAGGACGGTGAACGAGTAAGTTACGGTTCATAACTCTAATACTTAGTGTTAGCATCATGTCCGATTCAGATTTTATTCATGTATCCACGTGATTGACATTGAACAATACATCTTATTCAACTATACTAGTTACTCCACCCGTGCGTTGCACGGGAATGAAGTGCCTATATGGCAATAAATCACATTGAATAAGTTTTGAAGCAAGACATCATTCTAATAGAAAATTAAGAAACAAATTGTAGAAATTAGATGGTAAGCACCACACGATGAAAAAATGTGCATGTAATTTCCCAAAATAGGACTAAAAAAGGTTGAAAATTCCAAAATAGAGCTGTCATGTTTTTATTCCCAAAACAAGACTAATTACTGCCAAGTTGGAAAATACTGCCATGTTTGAAGTCTGGTCCTGCCAAAACATGACAGTAATTAGTTCTATTTTGGAAATAAAAACATAGGAAGTCCTATTTTGGAATTTTCAAACTTTTTTAGTCCTATTTCGGGTAATATCTTAATTATATACAACATTCAATTAGATGGACCTAAACTCCCGAGATCATCGCTACATACGTACAGTGGTCCATTAAGAGCAACCGCAATGCGGTTCTTTCCAGTGTTGGAGGAGTGTGCCATGTCATTAATTTAGACACTCTCCATTTAATTTTGCTTCCAATGCATCTAGTCCTACGTTCTTTCATGGTGATATGGCAAACTTCTTTTAGACGGTGTGAAGAGTTAAAGTTCAATTGTAGAAAGCCTGGAAAACTTGCTGACTGAGATAAAATTCATCGCAAGTGGGCTGGAATAGAGAAATAGCATGATCACTTTCCTTTGAAAGCTAACTAAAATTTAGGGATAATAATAATATTTTATTAATAATAAAAGCCACATGTACAATTGAGACTATGCATTGGAAGAATTTTTAATAACTCAAAGTCCTCCTAATCTACTTCGTATCACGTCACTTAGAAATCCTTTTAATTAATTGACATTTGGCTTATTTAACACACACTAGAAAGTTTTCCATTGGGGTTGCTCTAACAAATGTTCATTTAAGGGTATGCTAATAGAAGTCTATATCATTAAACTAATATTCAAACATGTAACGCAGGTAGTATAAAAAAACACATACATGTCATGTATAACAAATAATCACAAAATCTTTGCAATTTTTTGAGAAACTTGAAAAGACACATACATAAGACCATTGACCATTGTCATTGATCTAATTTAAGTTTAACTTTATCAAAGTTTTTGGGATTGTATGCTGCATTGTAGTTCATTTTATTTAGCAATTTTACTGATTTCTTTTTAATAAGATTAAAATTGCCTTTTGGTCCTTTTTAATTAGCAATTGTAGTTCCTTAAAATTAAAATTTTTACCGGTGATACTTTTCGTTAAAGTTTATGATCTTCTATATAAGCATAGGAATTGTAAAAGTTGTTTAATTATTGTCTCATAGGTGAGTGACATGTTGGAAAAATGTGTGAAAAATTGCATTAAATGGCTATTTTGGGGCAATTTTTTGAGTGGGGTCCACTTCCGATTTGGGTCGGGTTAAAGTGGTTTCGGATTGTCCTTGCTTAGGGCTACAATTCGATATATGGTACGCTCAAAACGGATAACGGGTGAATGAGAAATCGCTTTTCGAAGTTTACCCGTTAGAAGGGAAAAACTGGGGAAAAAGGATGGGTTTCTAGTGTTAATTTCCCACACCGGAAAACCCAAGGGATTTGCAACCCTTTATAAAGGGACTCCCCCCTTATGGAGTTAAGATTCCTAAGGGTAAAGGCTCTCTCCACGCGCGCAGGGGGGGTGCAAATCAAATCCCGAATTCGGAGAAGAAAAACCGCGACTTGCGTGCGCGGGCGACCTGCGGACACGAATGTCGTCCAAAAATCTATCTCTCAAGAGATACGATTAATTTTTGTTTTCTTCCCGAAACGTTTAATTTTTTCCCAGCGGCAGAAGTGCTCGGACAGAAGCCTACGGATCAGAACACCTCGTTGGTGTTCTGATGGCAGAACCCCTCATGGGGTATTCTGATGGCCGCCCATCAGAGATGGGGTATTCTGATTGCCGCCCATCAGAGTTGGGGGTACTCTGATGGCCGCGGATCAGAGTTGGGGTCTTCTGATTGGCCTCCGATCAGAAACCCCTCCCGGGGTGTTCTGATGGAGGTCTTCTGTCGCGCTTCTGAAACGTTACAACAATTAATGCCCAACGTTTATATCTTTTAATGCAGCGTTAAATGGACAGTTCATGGACGATTCAATGCCCAACGGACTGGTCATTGATGTCCAACGTTCAGGTCCATTAATTCACCATTTACACACAACAAATCCTCCTATATAATGGCTGGCAGGTGGTTTGCAACAACACACGTTCTTACACGAATTCTACACGTTTTGCACCTCTAAAAACACACTGCTAGCAATCTGCAAATTCCTCCTGTGTTCATACTGTGTTCTCGTTCGCTGGAACTTTTGTTTGTGTGCTCAAACATTAGTTCGTAGTCATCGTATCCTGGGAAACGATTGTTGCAACGCTCCTAGCACCGTGGGAGGCAACAAATACGTTTTAAGGACATCGTGCGTAGCACGAGCTTTGACTAATTCTGCTTCATCTCCTTTCTTGTTTTTCTCTAGTCATTTTATTTAATTAATTTATTTTAATTAATTTTCTTTATTTTCCGAAACACACCCAACATGACAAACATTCTAGAGTATTCACCAATTTACTACTCATGAAATATCAACTAAAATTTCAATCGCAAATGCAGTCAAATTAATTTTTGAAGATAACTGCACAGTTAAACAACACAGTATATTTCAGAAAATCACTTGACTGCCTTCTCGGTTAATTTTTATCTGAAATTTGGTATGAGTAAACTAGACTTAATGAAGAACATGCTCAAAAAATTTCATCAAAAAATTCCACCAGGAACCGCCCCAAACGGCGACGTCCAGACAGAACGTCCTATATAAGGGGGTGATTTGCACTTTTTATGTAAGTTCAAGAGTTTATTTGATAGTTTTCCCTAAAAAAACAAAGCTCCGATCACGCACTGGACAATTTTTTGGGAGTAAAACATCGTAGTCCGCATCATTTAGTCCCCTTTATGTGAAATCGACATTTTTAGTTCTTCTACTGTGGTTTCATCACGAAAAGTGGATCACAAAAATTGTCAACGAATGTGTTTGACAATTAGCGATTGGCTGCTAGTTGATAGTCAGTTGAATAAGCAGATTGATACTAACAAATTCTATTAATTGTTCTGATTAACCACTTTCATTAGCAGGGAAAGTAAAATGTTTGAGATTAAAGATTACGATGTAAGTTGACTATTAAGAATATGAACATTAAATTATATAATTCGCTTAACTTTATTTATTTTTTTAATAAATTTTGGAAAAAGTTTTAAAAATTATATTTACTTTTATTTTATATAACTACTACTACTATCCTTTTTAACACATATTCATTTACACGAACACAGACATATACATTCATTTATTTTTATTATTAATATTTTAAATATGACTATTTTGTTAGTTTTTAAATGCTACTTCACATAAAGTAGCAAAAATATTCATACTAAATAGTGAAGTATTCATAATGATTTTATGGAATAGAATGTTTTAGATACTAGTATAAATTTTAGTTTTCACAGTACTTAGAGGATTAAATGTTTGAAATTTTAAGTTCGGGAATTAAAATTATCTTACTCACAAAAAATTGACCAGTTTGTCACAAGAGCTGCGTTTTTTTTTTACCAATTTGTCTCCAGATATTTTTTAATACCAAATTGATAAACCATTCTTTTGTTTTACCAATTAATACCAATTCTTTTTGTTATTACAATCACCAAAATATGAAGAGTAGTATTTTTGTAAAAAGAAAATCATTTCAATCACACCTTCATCCTTATACCAATTTACTATCATGGTGCTTGAACCAAGCCGTCCATAACCCAACAGTATACCTACACGGGAACCCTGTAAGCCCAGAATTCAACTTTATAGGCCCATATCATTTACATGATATACCGGTTTCCTCATTCTACGCGGCCCATTACAGAAACCCTGGCTCTAACCCCTCCGCCATTATCTCACACCTATCTTCTGCGCCGCCCATAAGCCATTAGCTCTAAACAATGACGACGCATTTGAAGAAAAACAGGAAGAAGAGAGGCCATGTTAGCGCCGGCCATGGCCGTATCGGGAAGCACCGGAAGCATCCGTCGGGTCGCGGTAACGCCGGAGGAATGCACCACCATCGGATCCTCTTCGACAAGTACCATCCGGGATACTTCGGAAAGGTCGGTATGAGGTATTTCCATAAGCTGCGAAACAAGTTCTACTGCCCTACTCTCAACATCGATAAGCTCTGGTCACTCGTCCCCGAGGAAGTCAGATCCAAAGCTTCTAAGGACAAAGTTCCGATGATTGACGTCACGCAATTCGGATACTTTAAGCTCCTGGGCAAGGGCGTGCTCCCGAGCAACCAGCCTGTGGTGGTGAAGGCCAAGCTTGTTTCGAAGATCGCGGAGAAGAAGATCAAGGAGGCAGGTGGGGCTGTTGTTCTTACATCATAGATTCGTTTCAATTGATTTGAGTTTTTATTATTATGTTGTTTTAATTGTTAGACAAGCTTATGGAACAGATTTTCTACAATTTACCCATGCTATGGAGTTTAATCTGCAATATTATCAGAAATACATGCTTATCTTTGATTTCTGGAATGTTTTTTCATTTTGTTTCCTAGGATCATTATCATGCCAGTAACAGATTACGATTCGAATTTGAGAATTGGTCTGTACGTTTTTTGAACTGGCCAGTCTTTAGCGCTTACGAAATTTGTAGCCCATTAATGGATTAGACATTATTACAAAGATAAAGCAGAAAAATGAGGTTCTTGGAGAATATCACTTGGAGAAGATGATCTGAGAATTATTGATAGAACAATGTAGAAGAGAATGAATAGCTCGATAATGAACTACAGTACATACTTTATATTTATACAATAGGATAGAACTACTAATAAAGCCCAAATAACAAATGGCCCAACAACTACTAATTAATCATAAGGAAACAGCAATCAGCCCAGCATTTATTCTTGATACGCCCCCTCAAGATGAGCATGGATGTCAATCAGGTTCATCTTGGATGCAAACTGGTTGAAGAGAGGATTCCCTAAAGCTTTTGTGTATATATCTGCAAGTTGAAAACTGTTTTTAATATGTATAAGATCAATCAGCCCAGCATTTATTTTTTCTCGAATTAAATGACAGTCTAATTCAATATGTTTGGTTCTTTGATGTTGAATGGGATTATAAGCAAGATGATATGTTGATTTGTTATCAGTATATAAAGAAATAGGCAAAGAATGATTAATTTTTAAGTCCTGAAGAATATATGAAAGCCATTGGGCTTCACAAACAGCATTAGCAGCAGCCCTGTATTCTGCTTCTGTAGAAGATCTACTGATAACAGCTTGTTTCTTAGATTTCCAAGAGATTAAAGAATCTCCAAGATAAAAACAATATCCAGATATGCTTCTTCTGGTATCAATACAGGCTGCCCAATCAGAGTCAGTATAACCTTGTAATTTAAAGTCAGAAGAGGATGGATAAAAAAGGCCTTTACCTGGGGAGTTTTTGAGATACCTGAGAACTCTATGAGCTGCACTTAAGTGAATATCAGTAGGATTAGAAAGAAACTGACTTAAAGTTTGTATACTATATGCTATATCAGGTCTGGTAACAGTTAAGTAAAGAAGTCTACCAATTAAAGTTCTATAGCTTTTAGGGTCAGTTAAAAGTTTTCCCTGAGTTTTAGAAAGTTTAAGTTTAGGATCCATAGGTGTGGAAAAAGGTTTTGAGTTAATGTATCCAGCATCAGAAAGAATGTCCAAAGTATATTTTCTTTGACAAAGGGAAAGACCTTTTTTAGATCTAGCAATTTCAATTCCTAAGATATACTTTAATTCTCCAAGGTCCTTTATAGTGAATTTATTATGCAGAAAAGTTTTTACAGAACTGATTTCATTTAAATCATTACCTGCAAGGATTAAGTCATCAACATATAATAGTAAAGCAGTGTTGGGTTAAGGGCCCAAGCCGAGGTCCGGCCCACTAACCCATTTTGCTAGACGAACATCCAGTTAGAACACTAGGCCAACCCACGGGCCCATGTTCCCTGAGGATGGACGAACGTCTGGTGTTGGGGGACTCAGGCCCAGCAGCTCATCCCGACGAACGTATATGCAGGGACAAGGAGCAGAACCACGGGCCACCAGGGATGGCGACGAACGTCCCCACTACAAGCCTGTAGTCATCGGGGAAACCCAGTCCGCATGACGAATACCATCCAAGGCCAGGAGACGAACAGCCGATATCTCTCAAGGGTACACTTGGAGCAATCCAACTCACTTCCCGGGTTGATGAACGTCCCCACTAATCCGGCGGGAAACCTAGATTCTGGCGGGAAGTGCATTTAATGCTAAAGATTTGGTAGTTGGGACACCAGCGGTCCACAGGCTGCCACGTCACTACAGCCACCTGCCCATTGGCGGGTATAAATAGAAGCATTTATTTCATTGTAAGGGGTTGGCAACTTTCTATTCTTAGCACTAGCTATAGCATCCTTACTCGCAGCACTTCTACTGCCTTGTAAGACGAACGGCCGACGGAGCCCTTAGCAAGAAGTATTGTATTAGGGAGTTATTAAGAGATAATAATACCGAACCATTTACTTGCTACTTCTTGTTCTCTATAGTTCATATCATCTGCTTGTTGGGTTAGATATCATACACTCACTCCACTCGAAATCTTTGGGCTTACGTGTTGGGTCCAAGGGTTGAAGGAATAAACCTCAACACTGGCGCCGTCTGTGGGAAACTGAACTAAAAGTTTCCAAAAAACTCTCCCGAAACAGCTACTAAATCTACCCAAAACAGGCGCGATGACAAGAAGCAACCGCCAACGCGATCTCTCCGAGCAGTTGTCCCGCGGACGAAGCAACCGCGGGCAAACCACGGAATACTCCGAGACGTTGGGGACGACTGGGGGTGAGGGTGGACTCACAAACCTCATCCCCCACGAAGCCAGGCGTGACCCTCGACTCATGAGGGAACTGGCGGAAACAATGCGCCGAATGGCGGACGAACAGGAAGCGAACGAAGAGGTGTATTCAGCCAACACCATCTGGACGCCCATATCACCTGTCCGCCGCATGCAGACCCTGGATGAGACAGCGGAATCTGCCGGGCACCGGACACCCATCCACATGAGGCTGGGTCAGAATCCGTCTTCCCATGGAGCTGGAGGGCACACCAGCGCCAGTACCCCCCCGCTATGGGTGGCAAGATGACCACCGGGGACGCACGCCGGATGTCCCCTCCGAACAGCGGGGGCACCATCATTACCCCCGCCGCCAGTAATATTGGACGACGTTTCCAAAGACATGGCGCCCATATCACACGAAGGCAGCCCGACGCGGCCGCCCCACGAAGGAACATTGCGCTCGAGGCCGCCCCTCCTGTGTCCCCCGGAAGGGCCGCACAGGAGGCCCGGCTAGAGGCAATGGAGCGGCGATTAGCCGAAATGGACAGACGGGCGGAGGCCACCCCAGCCACGCCGCGCTTCTCCCTCACGTCACCCTTCACCCCGAGGGTCATGAATGCAGAAATTCCACGGGACTGCAGGCCGCCCCAGGGAATAGTGTACAACGGGACCGGAGATCCTAAGGCGCACCTGATCAGTTTCCAGGGGAACCTCTCTATGCTAGGGGCATCTGATGAGGCCATCTGCCGACTCTTCTTCAGCACCCTGAGAGGTCCGGCGCAAGAATGGTTCGGGCAGCTGAGGCCCGGATCCATTGATAATTACGAACAGCTGTCCCAGCAGTTCATGGCACAATTTGCTGCCAGCACCACCCCCAAGAAGAGCTTCACATCGCTCACAAGTGTGAAGCAGGGGAAGGACGAACCTCTGGCCCAATTCCTGGTCAGGTGGAGAGATGAGGTGCTTCAGGTGGATGATCTGGACGAGCGGCTGGGGGTGAACATGTTCACCAGCGCTCTAGCAACAGGGGACCTGTACCGGGACCTTCGGAGAAACCCCAGCACCAGCTACACCGAGGTGCTGGCTCGGGCACAGAAGTACGCCTCCATCGAGGAGGAGATCAGATTGAGGGACGGCGCACCTGCCGCCCCCTCCCGGAAATTGGCGGATAGACTCGGTCCCGGAGGCGGGCCATCCCCCCCAAGCAAAAAGAAGAAGACGGACGGCGGCATGGTTCCGTGGAAGGCTCATTCGGAGGCCGACCGCGCACGCCCGGAGGGATACTACGTCCCTCTGGCCTACCCCGTCAGCCAGATTTTTAACGCAATCAAAGACAAGGGCATCCTGAGGGAGCCCCAAGACAAGAAGGCACTCATGGGTCAGGATGAGACCGCATATTGTGAATACCACCAGAGGGTCGGCCACCTCACCGACAACTGCAGGCAACTGAGAACGGCCATCGACGAGCTGATCCGGCAAGGCTACCTGGGCGAGTTCACCCAGCTGCTAAAGAAGAATAGCCCGAGGCAGCCGAACCCGAGATCACGATCATGGCGCCGCGACGACCAGCGCGAGGCGGAACCTAAGGACGTAGACTATCGGAGTGCTGATAAACGTCCGGAGGGGTCCCTCGGCCCGAACGGCGGAAAGAAGAAGTTGGAGATCAAAGTGATCTTCGGGGGCGCTGAGACTGGGGACACGCCTGCGGAACGGAAGAGGTTCGAAAGGTCCCTCTATGTGGGCTCTGTATCAGCACCCCCCGCTAAAAAGAACAAGGTAGAGGCCATCACCTTTGGACCAGCCGACCTACCGATGTCACCGGCCCCCCACAGGGATGAGCTGGTGATCAGCATGGATGTCAACAATGCGATCGTCCGACGCGTCCTTGTGGATACGGGCAGCAGCGTGAACGTCCTCTACTGGGAGGCATTCGAAGGGATGAAGCTGAGGAAGGATCAGCTGGCCCCCCTACGTACCCCTCTGTCGGGCTTCACGGGGGACTGCATCGATGCGGAGGGTACCATCGGCCTCCCCGTTGAGATCGGGGATGGTCCTCACACCACCCACATCCGGATGACATTCGTTGTGGTCCGCCTGAAATGTGCTCACAACGCAATTTTGGGCCGACCCGGCTTGGAGGATCTTGAGGCTATCTGCTCCGTGCGGCACTCATGCATCAAATTCCCCACCGAGACAGGGGTGGGAGTCGCCCGCACAGATCCGCACATGGCCAGGGCCTGCTACACTAAAGCCATGGAGAGGTTCAGGGAGCGAGAAGCCCGGGTCAACAGCATTACTGAGAAAACCAGGCAGGCTGACTGCGACGCTCGTCTGGAACCGGCTGCCCTGCTCGAGGAAGTGGAACTGGATGATCCCTCGGACAGGAAGGTGTCCATCGGCGCCGATCTCGAACCTAAGATCAAGGAGGGGGTCATAGCTGTCCTCCGGAAGTTCAAAGTCCTATTTGCCAGAGGGCCGGAGGACATGCCCGGGATAGACCCCAACCTCATCTGCCACAGACTCGCCGTACGGCCGGATGCCAAGCCCATACAGCAGAAGAAGAGATACATGGCAGCCGAACGGCGGGAGTTCATCAAAAAAGAGGCGGCTACGCTCCTCAACATCAGGCACATCCGGCCGGTCATCCACGTGGAGTGGTTGGCCAACGTAGTGTTAGCCCCGAAGGGCGACACGTGGCGGATGTGCGTTGACTATTCGGACC